GCAGAGAGCGGGTAAACAACAAACAAAGACAACTGTACAATAAGCCGGAATAATGCAGAGAGCGGGTAAACAACAAACAAAGACAACTGTACAATGAGCCGGAATAATGCAGAGAGTGGGTAAACAACAAACAAAGACAACTGTACAATGAGCCGGAATAATGCAGAGAGCGGGTAAACAACAAACAAAGACAACTGTACAATGAGCCGGATTAATGCAGAGAGCGGGGAAACAACAAACAAACAAAACAAACGGCAGGACATAAGACATCTTTACAAACGTGACGCGGCGCCAAAACCAACACAAAATTGGTAACATGTATCTGTACATTAATTTACAAGACCCCGACTGACCTTCCCGGTGTCCTCTATAACAAGTAGTGCTAACGTTTTTCACAGTGTCGCTAAGTTAACTCCGTCTTTGCTGCGTGTGGGCGAATCTTGTATATCATTGTTGGGGAAATAATCTGTTTGAAACTCTTTAAATTGAATCACAGTAAAAGAAGATATTAATCAACTCCGTCTGTGTTCGACACAGACATCACTTAAGGGCAGAGGTTTGTCGTAAACGAAGATCGGGCACGGCAGAACGACATATGTACACTGGTAGATGGGAAAAAGTCGCGATCACATTTGCAAATGTATGCGTTTCAGGTAACACTAAGACAATTCTTTGTTAACAAACAAAAACATTTTCTAAGTATTGTTCGTTCCACCTCACAACAATCCAGACAATACACTCATAAATTCTTCGATGTCATAAAACAAAGAATTTGAGAGCGCTCGATTCTGTAATACGAAGACAGTGATTCTGTCATATCATATATTTATATAATATACTATATTACTGTGGTAATATATAGGAATATAAAGATAGGATTGTTGTACTTATTTTGAGCAGTAAACTATGAAAGCGCACTGTTAATGGCCAAATAATGGTCACAAAAAGGATATATAGTAAATAGAAAAAATACATTTTCATGGATCTTCACGAAGTAGATTTATAAACATGTAATTTTTAAGACTGCGAAACTTTCTTTTTCAAAATGAATGAACTGGACACGCTATTTGGAAATATATTTATTACTTTGGTTTACTATTATTAATACAAAGTCCTCTGTAATCGTGACCAGTCTCACATCAGGTTAAACGGATCTGGTTAGAGCTCCTACCACTCCTGTAACACTTTTGTAACACATGACTTACCTTCAGTGTGACCCTGACTCGTATCGTAACCTGATGGTATTGTCCATGCGTATGTGGTTCGGTTGTTTTTTTAGACTGCACTCAGCAATATTCCAGCTGTATAACGGTTGTTTGTAAATAATCTAGTCTGGACCAGACAATCTTGTGATCAACAGCATGAGCATCGATCCACGCAATTTGGATACGATGACATGTGTCAACAAAGTCAGCGAGCCTGACCACCCGATCCCGTTATTCACCACTTACGACAAGCATGGCTTCAAGACCGTAAGAGGGCTATTGGTCATGTGTTACATTGCTTGATATTCCAGAAATATAGCTGGCTGCATCAAAAGGTAATAAACTAAACGAACTAAAACATTATTCGCTCTCGTCTATAGTCTTATGTATTGTTTTGTCTTCCCACTGCACCATTTATGCGCTGATGTAATTTCCGAATGTGGACTGGATATCTGGGCTGATAGACTGCCTTGTAATGAAAGCACAAGAACAACGATCCGGGTTCGAATCCACACATTGGTATAATGTGAGAGGCACATTCTGCCGAAAGCTTAAAAGCATACTCTCTCACTCACTCTCTGTAATTGTAGAATCATACCTGAATATACTTTAAATATACTCAACTTCAGTAAGTTAACTTAAAGTTCATCAGCTAAATATTTTTATTTCCAGTCCGTAGGTACGACACATTAATATGGTAACATCAAGCAAAAATGACATGTTTACCTTGTACACTACACCGTTGCCGTCTTGATACCTCCATCCCGTGATCACCAGGATTAGGATGTCCTCAACACCTATTGCTGGTCCTACAGGCTGCGAACCCTTCGGATAAGAATATCAGTTCACTTGGCAACCTAGGCCAATCGCAGGAGGTGACTTAATTATTGGGATTGTCCTGCTTGTCAACTTGTCGATGATGTTTCAGCTACCCGACGGCGTGAATCATTACTCGTTATGTCAATCACTGAATTGCATGGTCCACTATGTAGTATTTTCAACTCTGGTCTATTGCATCGAAAAACAATAGGTACATAGACAACAATGTTCTGTATCGGAAACTTGTGTTCTTCCCACACATAAAAGCAGCGTTAAACGACTTTCAAAACGACTTTGGGCAGTGCAGTTTTACTCCTATTTATTAGGGATGGCTAAAATGATCGATATTCGGAAATATCGTCGATAAGCATTGATTATCAATATGAACATTGTGTCATCAATAATATCGTATATCAACTTTTGTGACAGGAAAGGCTTATAATTTCCTCACACAATATACAAATTTAGTACTTATGTCTGCTTCTACATTTTGTTCAGGACGCTGTTTGTTAATGACCCATGCAAAAACATGACACCACTCACCAGTGATGTGAAATCTATTCATTCCTTTCAGACATTTGGGGCATTTTTGCTCAGAGTTACGTCTCCGATATTTATCGATTTTTAGTCCACGATTATCGATCTCTATGAACTATATCGATAGCCAGCCCTACTATTTATAGGCGTGGCGTTGTTGGAGCACGATGCATTCATGACCTTTGACGTTCACACATGCCTTACACGTTAAGCTCCCTGGATTAAGAGACGTGTCCGCGCTCCCATTGAGGGTCATCTGTACACGGGAATGATTAAACGCTACACTAGAATTATGGGACTGCCCAAACACAGCACCAATGAAACTCTGCCGAAACTTCTGACCCGTGATGAAGTACAGGTAAAAATTGACAGCATGGGTGGCATCACATAAGAAAAAAGTCAACTGGTCAAGCAAAAGTTTTCTGGCGTAATTAAGAGACAATCGTCCAGGTGTCCACGAAGAATGGATCAAGATGAAGATGGTTCTTGGTAATGTCAGAATCAGAAACACCACCGCAACAGTCAAAAGCATGACGGTGATTTGTCTTTCGTATCGATTCAGATGAACTCTCCTCTCACGTTCAGTCTCAGAATACAGCCGACTTCTCCTCTGTCGAGATTTCCTAACTCGCAATGTGATTAATAGGTTACAAACAATGAGAATAACTGATGGGATGAAGGAATAGAGCGAGGCGTTGATCCAGTACCATATCCGTTTATAAAAGAAACTGTACTTCTCCGCGATTCCACACTGCATCCCATCATGCGACAGCGTGGTCCAGAACGCGTGGGAGTATATCCCTGTAATTACCACACCGAGAATGATCATACTTAACCGAGCACGATTCAGGTTCCAGATAACAGTCACTCTTAATGGAATTGTTACTGCCATGAACCGTTCAATTGCCATAAACACAAGTATCCAATTTGAGTAAGTCACGAGGCAAAGATAAAGAAAGTTCATTATTCTACAACCGGTGCTTCCAATTGCTACTTCATGGTACGTTAGCTGATGATAAAGAAGCTTCTGAAGTATTGCCAGATTGTCAATGATAGCCAGGAGAGCCACATAAAATTTCGATGTCGTCATTGGTTTCATTCTGCTCAGGGTGACAGTGCTGGCAATGTTCCCAGGGAACCCCAATCCAAAGATGATCCACAGATAATAGTTGTTTATATAGACACCCGCTGCATATAACCTCTCGTATTCATCTGCATCTTCTTCGTTAAAGTCATACCTGTCTAACAGATCAGATATATTATAAGGGAAGAATGTCCAGTTGGGTGTCTCCATATCGTAAAGCAGATCCATCACGCCTGAAGGTGACGTTAATGAAAGGTTTCAAATTGGGATGCAAGAGATCCGGAAGGTTGAAATACATACATTATAACATTAACATTGGAAATCTGTAAAGGATGCTCCTACGAAACACACCCATATAGAGATAGTGACATGCTAACATCACGCAATCCCTCTTTCATAGTCTAGTCTGTTTAACAGTGTCTGCTTCAAAACATACTTTTGGACACATCAGTCGAAATATTAGAGATGGATCTTTGTTACACCCATAATGTTGCCATCGTGCTTACTGTAACAAGTTGTGATGCCAGTTTGGATATTTCTATATTCCGTTTAAGCACAAGAACAGATCCTTGTTTTGATGTCCACATTAAAATTGTAGTGCCACCATATTGATGTTCTTCACCAGTAACAGTAATACAGCATCATGCTGCCAATTGTAACTTGAACCTTATAATTGTCTAAAATCGTTGTACGCTCTGCTATTCCAAACAGGTATTTGGTGCCACGATAGCAAAACAAAGTCAAGATGTCCACTGTCTCAGTCGTCTTGACGCCGGATTCGATTACGTCCGCGTCCGGTATCGACAATGTTCTTCCCGTTTCATCCTGTGTAACCAATCGAAGCAGGAAGAGACACACGAGACCACTGTAACCACCGTGCTGATGAGATGTCACAGTCTGGAAATGTAAACGGGAACAATTAGCATCGCTTGTTGCATATTTATGGCAATAATAACATAAAAATTCCACACTTTATGAAGCGACGCTTACAGGTTCCTCTACTGCCATACAATCAAACACGATACAATTTGGGCACATAAGCTTTTAAGGTACCTGATGAAACAAGGAAGACTGACAAGCTGGTAGCCAGCTTCACGTACTTCTTGGACCCTCTAATAAGTAGGGCTGCGCAATATAACCGGTTTACCGGTATTTACCGGTTCAGACATGAAAACGATACGTATTGCGATACGCTGATCGAAAACCGGTATTTTGACTTGCATTCGGAAAACTTCGTAACACTCGGAAATCTTCGGATATATCTTTTTTTCATTTGTGCCAAATATTATTCAAAGTTTTATTTTTAATCATGAATAAAAGTTGTTATTAAAGCTTAATCAAGCGTAGTGATTTTGCTGTGTATTTGCTCTATAAATCAAGCATTTCCTCGATTATAAGTAGTTTTTTTTGTAAAAATACTTCACGCAATATATTGCAATACATATCGCAATACATGCTTTCACATCGCAATATATCGCAAGATGAAACTTCTCTGCAATATCCACCACTACTAATAAGCGCCATTTTTGTGAAAGCCGCAGTGGCTTAGTGGGTTAGATCGCTGAGTTATTGTGTTAAAGATTAGGTGTCTGACCCCGAGAGTGTGGGTTCGAATCACGGATGGGACTCAACCTAATAAATGTACTATCTGTAATTAAATGATACAGGATAATCCCGAAAATAGCGTTTGTTACACTCAAGTGATTGACAAACCAGAACATCCAGTTATTAGTTTTGAAGTATGAATACTGTGTAGAAGTTCATAGATTCCGCTTCAGGACACCCTATAGCAAGCTCTGGTGCCTACAGACGAAGCATTAAACCTACGTGCATCACTTGCCCTAACGACTGTTCCCTTAGAGCGACAAATCGCCCAAGGCAACGTCGGATTGCTATTTGAACGTTACTAACGTAGGACTAAATAAAATAAATGACGTTAGGAAATAGATGAGAATTGGTTTTCAGGATGTCAATAAGATACATTGATGATCAGATGGACCTTCTCTGACATGTCATCGTATAGCAATAGTTTAGATTAATGCTCATGAAATCAAATACTGGATTGTCAGAGACGATTATTTACAGACCGCCACCATATGGCTTAAACAAATGCCAAACTATAGGGAATAAAGGATAATCACTTATCAGTACGTGCTACTTCGACATTCTGCGCGAGTCGAAGACAACAAACTGGAATCTATTGCTTCACGCCGATTATTGGAATCGGGATGTTGCTGTCGTCTCCGTGGAATACGAGTCGCCAATAGTTCATTTTCGAAACCTAATATGTAACCAGCTGCGATAATTGTATATTGCACACGCTGATGATCCATTCCGGTGTACAAGACGTTTCTAATCAGATGAGTCACGGTCAACAGCGAGTCAGACTACAAGTACTCTATCACAACACGCTCGTTTACTGTTTGTTAAGACCATTCCTGATATATCAGGAAAGTTGTGAAATACTTGTGTTTAAGTTCAAAACGGAAAGGGGTATTATTTTAATACACTTTGAATTATTAGCTCAGTGACTCACAAATGTCAAATTACAATGAATATTTTTTAATAAGCCCTCAATAGATAATAAACAACAATAATAAAAGGCAAATGTACGAACCAGAATTCAACAAAAACATGTTTTCGGGGTCGTTATAAAATAATGATGACACCAGGTGAGCGTACCCAGGCCCCTGGCGGTACTTGTTACAAACCCACCCAAAGGCAAGTCAATTATTCACCGGATGGTAGATATGGTTCAGTACAAAACAGGGAATTAAATAAACAGATTTGATGGGTTGCCATTGCGAAACATTGCTCTATCAATAAGACATGTTTGAAACATGATATTCTGTTCCAGACGTACACTAGAAAATAGTAATTTCTTTTCTGCCATCATCGACAAATACACATCAGATTTTAAATATTATGGATATCCTGGAATAAATGCGTAAAAAATATAAAATGGCGCGGCATTCCCTATTTCATGTTTTCAAGTCCTCGGGTCTCATATTTACCACCTAATTATTTGAACGTTTTCAATTTTGAGAGTAGTTTCAAATTCAAAGAAGGAAGTGGACCAGAAGGCCTTTCGTCAGCCATTCAGAATGCTTCCTGGTTCAAAACCAGGTTATGGCTCCACCGGGTTGAGAGATGTCTTGACGAAGTGACTTGAAACACTGCAATTCTATGTACCATTAAGGTGTGATGCTTCAATTGTCCTTACATGCCACCAAACGATTGTCAGTTCGATGTGATCCAACTCTTGACTGTGTCTGAGGACCTGTAACCCCAAACGTCATCTCCTATTCCACATATCGAAATGAGAACAAAATTGACCTTTTCTGCTGCCTCGTTTGGGACCCTATCACTGCTTTATTGAGGTAGATTCGACTTCAACCAAACATCAAAGATATAAAGCAACACTAGTATCAACACGAGTTACCACTTACGATGCTAATACGTTTACAGTTAGATCCATAGACGGTGCCGCATTCGTTGGCACGATTGGTGCTGAAATCAGTCCATCATGCTGATCACCAGTTAGGAGCTCTATTTTGACTGCTGAGTCAATATATATAATTCGATTTCAGACTCTCCATCATGCTTTCCGGCAATTTAATAATCATTCACGCAAATAAAATATTGCGTTATATCATAAAACTTTGTGGTAAACTTGCTGCAAACAAATACATTGTACATCATCTTTTATTGGTTACCCAGCCAAGTTGGAATCGTTGGTAAGACCATGTCTGATGTTCCAGCAAAAACAGGGCTTAATACATGTGTGACATAACATAGCATGACAAGTACCGGTTATTAGCTACATGTAAATCTACTCAGGGGCCGGATTCACTAAACTTCTTAGAATATTCTTAAGCCTTAAGAATTCTTAAGTCTACTAAGAATTCTTAGTTTCCATATCAACCTATCAAAAACTAAGATTTTTGCTTAAGCAATATTCATCAATACTCTTAGTTAGTTAACTTAAGAATCCTCCATAGGTTACTTAAGCACTAAGAATTTTCTTAAAGTAAACAAAGATGGCCGCCAATGCATTCATCGATACAACACCATTTTAGAAAAATACACAGAAACAGAGTTGATACGAAGATTTAGATTATCAAAAGATGGTATACAATTTGTAGTAAGTCTCATTTCCAATGAAATTTCACCTCTCACTCGAAGAAGTCATCCTTTATCAGCTACTGACAAAGTTCTACTGACGCTGCGTTACTTTGCCACGGGCAAAATGCAGCAGTGAAATGCGGACCACATTGGTGTTTCACAGTCTTCAGTGAGTAGGGCCATTAACCAAACAATAACTGCACTGTCTACCCCTGCCGTTGTTCGACAGTTCGTTTCGTTTCATACCAGTCCGACTGAAATCCGACGAAACCAACTTGGTTTCTATGGCATCGCTTATTTTCCCAGTAAGGTGGTCAAACTTTGGTTGCTAGTGGTTTACAGCCTGGTTTTAATTGGTAACAATGAAGCTATTGAATCTACTGTCTTCTTATTTTAATTATGGTCAGGTTGATTTTATTTTAAAACTGTGATATACCCACCAATTTTACTGTCCTTTGTCGACAGATATTTTAAAATGATTACCTTGTTTTCATTGCTATATGGCTGTAATATGGCCTACGTGAAGTAAACTTTTAACTCACTCACTCACTCTACTCCGGTTGTGGGTCCTGATTTAAAGACGTCATTCCACGACGATGTCAATTCTTTGCTTACCTCATGGCTTATCACTTACTTAACGGGAACAATCTCCAGAAATTTAACCCTTGCGACGAGAGAATCACAAGCAGGCATGTTTACTGATCGGGCTTAGCACTAACTGAACGGGTAAAATCTCCATTGTTTAACCCTTGCGACGAGAGAATCACAAGCAGGCATGTTCACACTTCTGTGTTGAATACGCGATAAAGATTTCAACCTGCACATATGAAACTATAAAACAAGTCTTATTTGATTGTGTTCATGTAAAATGTCTGAGGCATTAAACATCGCCTGTTGGAATGGATCGAATGTGAAACAGACATCTGTCTAAAACCAAATCTAACACATCTTTTGTTTAGTTACAAAGAGAAGAGAAATGATGTGCTAAATTTAATTTTCATTGTTACCAAAATTTACATATATAACTGCAAATGCCGAAAACAAAAGCCGCATATACATGGCCTAAAGTCAATCTAGAAAGATACATACAATGTTGGTAAACAGTTGCTCTACACCGAATGCAGATATGGACAAATTCATCTCATTCTGGTCCTCATGCCACAGACTCTTCACATAATTTGTTTGCATAATTTACTTAGGTATATATTGTGTTTTGTATATTTGAATGAAAATGCATACCATGTATACGCAAAATAACTTTTGTACAGTATATGTACTATATATATATATATATATATATATATATATATATAACATCTGTCTAAAACCAAATCTAAAACACATCTTTTTAGTTACAAAGAGAAGAGAAATGATGTAAAATAACTTTGGACATTTTGTGCGTATATATATATATATATATATATATATATATATATGTGTGTGTGTGTGTGTGTGTGTGTGTGTGTGTGTGTGTGTGTATGTGAAGGTATATTTTTTGAGATATGTATGGTACCCACAAAAGAGAAATGTAGTGATTAAGGAAAAAGAAAAACATTTCAACCTAAATTAATTAGGGATTAATTTTAGATATTCTTATTAGTTCAATATATATTTTAAAACAAATGCGGAGGAGAAATGCTTTGATATTATTATTTTAAATCTTCAGTGACTAACAAGGTGGTATAGATCCAGCTTGGGTACCAAGAAGGTAGTAGAGGTATTATAAGTTGTAATGGCGCCTTATGTTGTTGGCCACATCATTTCACTGCCTCATATTTTATCTTTAAAAAACTGTGATCGTCTGTATGTAATAACTGTCCTTTGTCAGCAGTGAAGATCAGGGTTAGAATTCGTCTTCAGCAACCCACACTTGTCGACTAACGGTATCGGCTTGCCGATTTGGTTGACACATGTCACCGTATCAAATTGCGTAGATCGGTGCTCATGATGTTGATCACTGGAATGTCTGGTTATTTACAGACCGCCGCCATATAGCTGGAACACTTCCCAGTGCGGGGTTGAACAACAAACAAACATAGTGTATATAGTCAAAAGGAATAATGTAATACAACTGAAGCACTGCTATTGTGAAGTTCAGTTTCAGTGGATGCACCATCTTTGTGAAAAATAATAATGCGTTTTGTACCAAGCCAACATACCAACTGTAACTGTTTGTTGAAGAACAAATCGGAAACAAGATTGCGGCATGGAAATGGTGTTAACACAATTCTGACCTGTTTCCTGTGTGGGCAGACGGTGAGAATGTAATCTACATTTTCCTATTTACTTGTGGACATTAAGGTATTGGTGATTTCGTCCCGGGGACGTCTGTTTTTCAATACGTATCATCTACTGATAATGAGCTTAGTGTTGTCCGCATGAACGAAGACGTGTTGGAAGCAATGGCGCTCTCGGCATGCAGTGTTGATTTACGAAAGTCTTGAAAATACTGCTGAGGGATTCGGACGACGCATTTAGATATATTACCAGCCTAGTCGTGATTGAAAACCTGATGTACTCCTTTCACTCCCATGTGACGAGTTTCTGTAATTCCGGAGATAAGGAAACAGGAAATCACGGAAACCAAGACCGGAGCCATTAGCACACACGTTATGCAAAACTAACCTTCCTCGAGAAAATCTGCAGGATATGTGTCTGGAAGCGCCAGCTATAGAGGAGACTTTATAGTCAGTCCGGTTTTGTTCGATCAGAGATATCAACAGTAGCTAGAGTTGACCATCAAGATGAGTGACGCTTTTCATTAGAGGTTAATACACCTTATTCCTGTTGATGACTGGCACATTATCGCAACACCCACGCAGGCCATTGACGTTTAACACTAATATGAAAAAGGTGTTGTTTTTTAAACGAGTAAAGGTGACATGCTGATTTTACGAAATAAGTGACAAGACAAGACAATCGTTTATTGTATTTTAGGCCACCAGCCCTTAGACAAGCGAGTTACATGCATTAAGACATGGTCAATTGTAAGTGGTCATACGACGAATAAATGCATATTTAACATAGAGAGCTAGATTACGTAGGGTGGAGTGAGTGAGTGAGTTTAGTTTTACGCCGCACTCAGCAATATTTCAGCTATATGGCGGCGGTCTGTAAATAATCGAGTCTGGATCGGACAATCCAGTGATCAACAGCATGAGCATCGATCTGCGCAATTGGGAACCGATGTCATGTGTCAACCACGTTGTCAGCCTGACCACCCGATCCCGTTAGTCGCCTCTTACGACAAGCATGGGTTACTGAAGATCAATATTCTAACCCGGACCTTCACGGGTACGTGGGGTGGATTCATTATTAGTTGTTAATAAACTGGTAAAAGCTATCAGTAGTGGTTCCGACAGATAACGTTCTGGGATATACTTGTAACGTAAATCTGCATCAAATGGACAGTCAAGGGTAAAATGTACTTCATCTTCTACTGAAGAATTACATAACGGACAAGATCTTTCAGATTTTGGGATTGACAGTTTTCTGCCTCTATTTACCATTAAGTCCAACAAACCTATCCTATATTTGACAAAGTTTAGATAAATACAGTTCAGGTTGTAATAGAGTTTTAAATGTTCTATATAATTCGTAACGAGAACTACTTTATAGAGTGAAATGCCATTCCTGATAAAACATATATTTACCGCTCGATCACGAAATTCTTTTAAAAGCATAAAGACTGCGCAAGGATGACACGCAAATTCGTGAAACGAAACTAGTGTCAGTATATTATATATATAAGCAAGTGATTACTGCAGGTGCCAAAGCAATACATATATGAAAGATGAGTCCGGCTATTTCCTGTTGTAAAACACTTTATCTGCACAAGATGTTTCAATGTGTCGAACGGCGAAAGATCCTGTGCAGATAAAGGAGTTTTTGACAAGAAAAAATATCTGGACTCATTTTTGTATAAATATAAATCATGCACACAAAGACTGAATAGTGTCTCTGTGTGTGTGCGTGCGTGCGTGTGTATGTGCGCGCGTGTGTGTAATATGAATTCTTAAACGTGTTTCGTGAAATACAGCCAAACGCCGCTGTGTCGAAGCTGAAGGGACTCCATGAATACTTCGAGTTATACAAGGTTCGACATAACTACAAAATATATAAATAGGGAAATAATACGAAGGGCAGTTTTACTTGGAAACAACGTTATGTTCGTCACAACGGTGTTTTGACTGTAATCATAACATGCGGGTGTAATAATTTCTTTATAATCATTATTTCGAAATCCTTTTGAGACTACTTAAAAATATGCACTTATCACGAATGCCGTATTAAAAAAAATCACAATTTTCAAATGACGTCAACAATATTCATCTATGACGTCATTCTATGGACATTGTGACGTCGTTCCGACAAATGTATTACAATGAGACTCGAATGAAGTCAGTGATGCTGTCCGGATGATGTAAACAATACACAGGAGTGCGTGAGATGATTTATTACCAACGAGGTCAACGTATTGGTAGTTGCATACTAATCTCGTACGTCACACGAGTGTCGTATCGCGTTGACCAGTGTTGTAACGACTTGACCTGAGATTCTAACGATTTGATTGGATAACCTATGACCTCTCAGTTAGGTCACATTCGGACGTAACTATTTTTTCATTCATAACAAACACGTGAATTCATTCAGTCTACAACTTAAATGCATTGTGGGAATGTAAACATTGCGAACGTTGCCGTGTCGCTGATTAATTGTGAGTCGAACTGAGACATTATATCTATCGAAAAACATAAACGCAATGTTTCCACCAGTGATGTTAGCCGAATGAAGCAACTGGAAACCAAGAAAAGAGGTGCTACGGAGTAGTTTACTGTAGGAGGCTGTACGAGGCGATGACAACTGACATGCATCGTGACGTCTGTTACCAAGGCAGTGACGTCATTATAGTGTGACGTCATGTAAATATTGCACTACAGTACAAAACTCTTCCGCAACCTCTTTATGAAACCGGTTTCAGTTTGAAACCAAAAACATAACAAAAATAGGCTAATTTGTCAATTTAATGCATGTAAGATGTGGGTAATAAATAAAATACCACACTCGGTCTCATTACATACGAATTATACGAATCTCGTGACCTTCCTATGTTATCTGACCTCGCTTTCGCTGGGTCATTTCTTACGAACTCGGATATTTCTGATCGTATGGGTAATAAATAGAATAACGGTCAGACGATATTGTTTTTGTCTCTGGTACATGTTATGAACCATCTACCACTCTACCTGTCAACATCTGTCTGGAAATATAGCTGCGCCTGCAAGGGCTAAGATCAACGGCGAACAATAACACGGGCCAACTGGAGATATCATGGTGAAATGTATCTTATCCGCGTGTCTCGATAATTAGACACTGTCTGCTGTCGGACATTCATCCCTGAGTCTGACATTTACTAAGCCACCTTTGGCAGTTGATCGGGAAACAATAACGGTCTTTTTGGCTGCTTGAAATAAGCACCCAGAGCAGTGAGAGTGAGTGAGTGAGTGAGTGAGTGAGTGAGTGAGTGAGTGAGTGAGTGAGTGAGTGAGTGAGTGAGTGAGTGAGTGAGTGAGTGAGTGAGTGAGTGAGTGAGTGAGTGAGTGAGTGAGTGAGGGGGGGGGATGTGCAGTAATTGCAAAAGAAACTAAAAACAACGTTCACTGCCAACATCGTGTTCACCGCCTGATCTTGATTCACACGTGAAGATCCGGGTTAGAACTGGTCTTCAGCAACCCATGCTTGTCGTAGGAAGCGACTAACGGGATCGGGGTGTTAGGCTGGTTGACACATGTAATCGTTTCCTAATTACGTAGATCGATGCTCATGCTGTTGATCACTTGATTATCTGGTCCAAACTCGATTAGTCACAAACCGCGTTGATGTAGTTGGAATATTGCTGAGTGCGAGTAAAACAATAAACAAACAAAGAAAATACTTTAACACTGGCCTTTAACACATACATTCTCAAAGGGCATTATTCACTCTCTCTAGCAATTAAATATAATATTTTGAGAATACAAAATTATTCCCCGATACGGATTCCATTGGGAGTATAAGATCAAGTAGCTTGAAATTTACAGGAATGGATCACCATGTGTTCACAAAAGGGTAAGTATGTCATTAGCCTCTACATGGCGTGCAGTTAAGAGAAATCCATCCGTTCAAAGCATTCGGAAGTGTTGGCATTTTGTCTAGCTGTGTGTAAGACAAATGCAGAATATTACCTACATTTTTCAGTGCAGACTGATGATTTTTTCACTAGTGCGAAAATATAATCATTCTTGAGAACATCCAATCAATATTTGCATCAATGTTAAAGCTATCGCGAACACCTGGTGTCATCACTGATTATCAGCGATCAGTCCATCGTCTGAAATTATAATGTTTTACAGAAATAAATCGGTTCCTAAATTATAATGTAAAAAATAATGAAAAGGAGCCCGAGACATTCTTCGTTTTCATGAAAGAAACTGTAGTAATCTAGACTTGCTACATATTCTGGAATTGCATTGGCTTTTTTGAAAATGTTTGTTTCAGGGTTCAGACTAAATGTATATTCACCGCTCTTTTGCGTTTTACGCTCGCTCGAATCTGAAGTTAAAGATTTCCATGAACTTCATGTTTGGTGGTCCTTTAAAACACAACTCAACAACTGTCAACTGTTCCTGTACAATTTAGAGACATCTACTCACACATAGTCTGAAGCTCACATTACCGTTCTCGGCGCTCCTCTCCTTATATCTTCCTGGCAAGTCCACAAAATGAGATATTACCGAGTTTCATTTGACTTCGTCTCAGGCACGATAATTAAATTTAAAGTCACTGATGGCTGGTTAAACTTATAAGTCGAGTAAAGTTCGCATCTTGTCAGTATTCGTAGTGTCCCTGAAGCCTTTGAGCAAGTCCTGGTGTTGGCTTCTTATTTCAAGTTTCCTCCCCTATAACTGGATCACTTAACTAGTTGACAGGATGAAAATTACAGTGATACTTGCGAGGACGTTCTATAAGTGCGAGAAGGACTATGACCAAATACAAAATTTAAAAATGAGTGTTTTACAAATGGAATTTGTCTCGCAAAATGCTCACGAAAAAAAAAAAGTCAGAGAAACGTTTCCCTAACATTAAAAAATAAATTTAAAAATGTAATATGTAAAAGATATGAAATCCGAATTCCTTAAGTCTCAGATTACGTGATGGTTTTACTATGTGCTAGTGTGATGCTGAAGGAAAGGCCAAAGACTGCATTATTTGGCGTTTACAATATTGGTCCGAATTTTACACATCCTTTAAGACAACGTCAACATCCCTGAAGCCAACAGGTCAGACAGCAAGATAACACTCTTAGAGGCAATTCACATCAAACGACTCAACCCGACAATCAACAGAGCTCAAGGTAATTACATCCCTACAGCTTACCATCATCTAAAGAAGACAAATCGAAAATAAGCCTTTGTTCACCTGGTTTCATAGCCATTATCTCTATTCACAACCATCAGTAGTGGCATCACGCTGTGCATCAACCTCTTCAGTTGTATAAACCCGAATATATCCTTCATGTAGTATTCTTCTTCTGCATGATATTGTGAATCCCTGGCCAGATAACGGTGTTAGCATCTTCACTGAGACATCCCAGCTATTGCAATGAAGAAGTTGCTTACCATAAAACTTCTTACTCTTCATCATACCAGCTTCTAATGCTACTAGCGGTGGGGTAGCCTAGTGGTTAAAGCGTTGGCTCGTCACGCCGAAGACCCAGGTTCGAATCCCCACATGGGAACAATGTGTTAAGCCCATTTCTGGTGTCCCCCGCCGTGATGTTACTGGAATATTGCTAAAAGCGGCGTAAAACCATACTCAGTCAGTCAGTCTAATGCTACTAAAAGAAGTAATTTCCGTGAAACCCACGAGCAATGACATTACATCTGAGATTCGAACCTACATTATAGGCGCCTTAGACAAACTAATAAACAAGTAAGTCCAATGTTCCAGCTATACTGACTGACTGCCTGAGTTTGGTTTTACGCTGCTTTTAGCAATATTCAAACAACATCACGGCGGGGGACACCAGAAATGGGCTTAACACATTGTACCCATGTGGGGATTCGAACCCGGGTCTTCGGCGTGACGAACCAACGCTTTAACCACTAGGCTACCCTACCGCCCATCCAGCAATAAAATGGCGTCGGGTAAATACTCTGCACCGATGTTTAAACTATGAGCAATTGCCATATTCATGGTTATTCTGGGATTCGAACCTACATTATAGGTGCCTTAGGCAACTAGTAACAGATATGTTCAATATTCCAGCTATAAAACCGCCAGCTATACAGACTAGTGTAAAAAAGAAACCGCAAACGTCGGAGAGGCCTACAGCGTAAGGAGAGGAAACATAATTAGAGTGCGTGAGAACAAACGATGATTTCAAATTCAAGTTGTCCAGAATTCTTTTCTGATACGCACAAATTCAATATTTTAAAATTGGTGAAAAAAAAACAACCCAGACTATTTCATCTTATATCGTTTAGTTCTTCCACAATGAATAAAGAACGAAAACATCCAGTTCGATTTTTTGTTTCACAGGAAAATGTCGAAACTGTCTCATTCGTTAAATGTCAATTTTCTTACAAAACTTACAAAATGTTGTAGCATTGGAAACTATACATTCAACGATTGCGCTTTTCTAGTAACTCTTTGGTCGACTCATACCATCGTTATGGCTGGCTAAGATGATCAAAAATCGGAAATATTGTCGATAGGAAATATTATTTATGATTATCAGTATGAAAATTGTGTTATCAATAATATCGTACATTACATTTTGTGGTCGAAAAAGCTTTTAATCTTCTCACACAACATACAAATGTAAGACCATATAGCTGTTATATTGCTGAGGGCGGTGTTACACAACAAACATATAAACACTCACAGTACACCGACTCCGAGTGGACTAGTCTTTGTTTTATCGCCCTAGTGCAGAGCGTCAGGCAGGGTAACAAAAAGTACCAACCATAACCGTATTTTACGAAGGACGCAGCCGGGATCAAACCTGGAAGAACACTCTACCCACTCGACCATGACGTCCTTGAAGTTTCGTAGCCATGATAAAGTGAGGTGAGGGTTTAACGTCGTGCTTGAGAATACTTCGCTCATATGACGACGTGCATGCGTGTGTATGTGTATGTGTGGCTGCTTGTACTAGCCCAGACTGAAGCTGGTTTTATAGTGCTAGCCCACTGAGATACCATGTCGCAGTGAAGCATGAATACCCCACTCAGACACAGTATACTTACTCCGAGCCGACCAGTCCTTGTTGTACCCAGTAATGCCGAGCGCTAGGCAGGGACCAACAAGTACCATATTTTAACGTCTTTTGGTATGACGCAGTCGGGGATCGAACCCGCGACCTTCCCCTCTCCGGGCGGACGCTCTAACCACTACGCCACGGAGGCGGTCCGTAGCCATGATAAAACACAGACGGCTGTAATGTTTACAATAACGTAATCGGCCCATAACGCAACTCCAAGACTTGTGTCTTTAGATTCAATTAATTGAGTCAGATTTCCCGACATCAGGTGTAGCTTGATCAACACCTAGACGGCGTGGTATCCATCGAAGAGATGTCTGAGTTTTCGTCTCCCGTGTCGGATAACAAGAATAGACAGAAGTTTCGTTAGAGAACTATTAACACTGACGCCAGACGGCGAGTTAAGTGCGACTGAAATACACCGAGTTACTCGTTTTATGGAACGTATGTAGCATATATATTTTTCGACCGACAGGACATCATCTACACAATTACAACCTAAAATCTGAAAACAACAATAATATCACGAGTTTCAAATTATATGTATTGGCCATTAAATGTAACAGAAAGACATTGGTGTAAACTGCTAATGTATTGTTGTCACCGTTCTCTTTCCTTTCCGGTGCTGTCCTACTATTCTGTTTATGTCAATCAGTTGTGTAAATGTCTGAGAGAAGGTATCCTTAGTTGAACAACTTGTACCTAGTCTCATTAACCTTTTGCGAAAACGATGTTTTAAACTAAAGTTTGAATTTTTAAAATATTCATCCTCTAGTTTCAGAGCAATGACTTGTACATACCATTTCTATACGTCTTCATGAAGGGTAAGCATAATCTGCCCATCTAAATAATTGAATTTTAAATTACGACTGCTGAGCAGAAGATTCCGATGCTTTTAAGTTTAAAAACGTTTTGGAAATGGATTTGTTTACAACACAGTAGGGTTCAGTATTAATGTCTCGGACTAAACTTTTGTTTTGCAACTGACAGATCAATACTACTGAGATAATGATGAAACTTGGGGACTTCAATCCACCAGCAAAAACAGTGATAAGTAAATAATGCGAATCAATTAGATTTGTGCATTGGGAAATAAACTATAGTAAAAAGGTGACCTTAAATTGTAGACATATTCTTACTTTAAAAATGGTATTTAAAAATTCTTTGAGCCTTTGTTTTCCTGATATTTGCTGAAATGCTAAATAAAATGGCAAATACAGAAAGAAAGACAACTCTGGAACGTTTTTGTGTTTTAGATCTATGGCATCATCGTATACCATTTTTTCCCCTTTCTTTTAGTAATTAGAAATTGACTTAAGTAAATGGCTTGCAAATGCCGGAGAGGCCCTGGGGTGATGAGAGGACATATAATTAGATTGAGTAAGAACTTGCATCCACCAACTTCAACACAAACAATGCTATCAAGATCAAGTTGTCAAGAATTCTTTTCTGGAACGCACAAATCCTGCGAACCAATATCTTTTTAAGTTGTTACAGGTACAAAAACACCCAGACTATTTCATCTTTTATCGTTTAGTTCTTCCACAATGAATAAAGAATGAAAGTTTCCAGTTTCAATTATTTTCACGGGAAAATGTCGAAACTGTCTCAGTCGGTAAATGTCAATGTC